AGATCTAAAAATGTATAAGAATTAAAATTTTCGAGCCAATCATCAAACTCGAACAGATTTGCCGAGAACAATGTCACATTGTGATTGTAATATATTAAAGAATTCCTTGGATGAGCTGATTATTATGATTGGAAATATAATTTGATTAATGTGATATATTTTTATCTTACGTAATGTTGTGTTCTACAAGACTATCATTCATTTTCATAGTGTGACGTCTTATTTGTTTTTTCAAATTTGGTTAAAGAAAAACAGAAGATTTCATGTAAAAAAAAAAATTATTCACCATTTTTTTTTTTTATTCAAGCACATATATTTTAAAAATTATTGCAATACACGCAATAATTTTTGGCTAGTTTTTCTTTTATCTTAGTTAAAGTGATAACTTTAAAAAAAAAAAAATTTTTTTTTTTTTTTTTGTTAAGGGCGAGATTGGTTAATACAGTACAGTATAAGATCTGAAAATCGATTAATAAGATTCCGGTCTGATTTAAATTATATCAGAACACGAATCTCTTTTTTTGGGTTGGGTAGTTCTGGCTTTGTTATTAACGATAACTAATTATCGAAGAAAAGTAACACTGGCTATATTCGGTTCGATACACAGTATCCTTAAGAAAGCAAAGATTTATCGAAAAATTTCTCTGCGATTTTAATCCTTAGTTAGTTGTGTTAATTACTGGATTATCCCTAGTATTAAGGAACGAATTCATGTTGTTTATACTATATGTTGGTTCTTTCTGTGTAACTTAATAAATCATTTGAGAGGAATCTTGTAGAAAATTTTATTCGAACTGGTTATTATTAGTAATATAGGATCAATGTGTTAAAAAAAATTTTTTATTCCGTAAGAAATGATTAAATCATATACTATGTAATTAAGTAAAACTCTGATATAAATTCCTATTTATCTTAAACTTCTGATACTAATTAAAAAAATAAAATTTATTAATTTAAAAAGTCCATAAAAGAATTTGAAATATAATATATTTGAATATCAATTACACAATTTAATATCATATTTCAGTTTTGCGCAAAGATTAGGCTTGGCTTAAAATCATTAGCTTTTCTCACTGAATCATTAATTAATGACAAAATGAATAAATGCGTTTTTAATTAAAAAAAAAAAAAATATCCATGTATAATGTATTACGTGTTGGTTAGAAGTGGTTAATAAACGAATTATATTATAACGTGGGTACTAGAAAAAAAAAGTATTCGCCAGTTACTCATAATAAAAACAGACAAGAATGCAATAATTAATATATTCGATTTTCCCAGACTTGAAAAAAAAAGTGTAAAAATACAAGATTATATGCTTACCTGTCGTGATTTTTTAGTTAAGCGATTCTGCAACATCAATATTTTGAGATGCTGACATAGCTAAAACGTCCGTATTTCAAACTACTCTTGTATGCGGTGAATATTAAAAGAATCTTCATGGTTTGGAAGAATATTTTATTGTGGTTCGTCGTTTACCCGAGGAAGAAAACTCTAAATATTGCAACCAGAATAGCGGAAACGCACGTCACCAATACCAAGGCTGGGGTGCCTTTCGAATGAATAGCACCATTTTGACATGGATTAAATGGTCAACTATCTTGTATATAACTGCTTATAAAGATCGTTGGTATGGCAAATAAAGTAAGATCTTTTTGCAATTCCGACTCCTTTAACGTAATGTTAACATAATAGATGTGCACAACATATTCCGCGATCATTAAGGAATGACCTTTAAAGGACATACACGAACTTGGACATGATACTAACGATTATTATGCTATCTGTAATCTTATTGTATATAACGAGCGGTGTGGGCCAATTCGATAACCCACTTCATAACAACGACATCATTGATTACACACCACACAAATGGATAAAAGGAGAATCTCGTTTTAATGTCTCAAACCTATACTAGTTTAAAACTGCATGCCGCGCGTAAAGGAACATTTAACCTTTGTTCTAACAATTTGTTTTATAACAAACTTAATCTTAACGATACATGTTTTTATACATCGGTAGTAAGTTATGTTTAATATTACGATAAGTGCAGAACCACTATTATACAACTTGTCAGTTGATTCCTTGAAAAGAATTTTTTTTCTCTTATATAACAATATAAAAATTCTTTAAAATTTATTTTTAAAAAAAATAACAAATAAATAAAATTAAAAACATTTAAAATAATTTAGTTTAAGAAGCGATTATTTAAATATTGTGACGAGTGAATTTCGAGGTGTTTTCCTTGATCCAATGTAAATGCAAACTGTTCTTGTGCCATATTTTGTTCTAATTCAATGCCTTGAATATTTCTATTCAACAGTCATTAATAAATGAAGGAGATACAATCTCACAACAAATTTGATAAAATTGATTATTACATTGTTGTTGATAATAATTGTAAAATGAGATTTTTCAATTAACATGGTACTGATAATAATCATTTGGTGGTCGAAAAAAAACAAGGTTTTAGTATGAACCGGATAGATTAGAATTTGAGGATTTCCAAAAGGATCAGTTTGTATGGTGTTAACGGAAGATTGAATTACGTGACTATTGTTTGAATTTTCGATTACTTGTTCAAGGTAAGGATGTTGTTATCCGCATAACGAGTAGGAATAACTGAAGGTGAAAAATTCTCTGAATTAGAAGCTTGAATTTTTGAACGTGTTGGATTCATATTACTATTAACTTTGGTTATGTTTTTAATAAGAAAATTAATTTCAATCAAATTGTTTGAAGTATTAATAAAAAAATAGTTTGATCCTTTAAAAAAAATTAAAGGCGAATTTTCCTAACCTAAAGGTTGGACACAGTAATGCTCACGTGATTTAGAATTTGATAGATCCTGCTCTGCCTTCTTTTTGCACTTCATGCGGCGATTGAGTAAAATGGCTAATTTTTATTTTTGTTACACATAGTAAACAATTGACATATTCCATTGTAAAAATAACATAATAATACTAATATATGTATATGTAGGCATTTCAGTCGCACCATGTTTATCTCTATACATTCTTCCCGTTTACATAACCGTCTTTCATTTGAAATTATAGGATTTCGAAAAATAATTTCGAATCCCAATTTTAAAATAATCACCTGACCTGTTAATTTTTATGATATGGTGTTACTAGCACAAAAGAGTGGTATGCATTCGGAGTTCGATCTCCGTTGAACTTATCGACTGATTTATTTACGCTATGAAAAGCATATATAACGCGCGCACGATTTTTTGTTATCTATACTTTATATACGAACTTTTTATCTGTACATTGAATTAAAAAACAATTCCCTTTTGGAGAAGAATGAAATCATTTATTTTATTACAATTGATGATGCAATTCTTTTTGGCCAATATTTATGGTCAAAAAGATCCCAATTGCGATAGCGTAAACGATCCATGTGTATTGGCAAATTCAATATTACATCCATGTAAAGGGCAACTTGTGACAATACCTCCTGAAGCATTGAGTGGTGCTGCTCAATTTCAATATAAGTTTAGCAAGAATGGTAAATAACAAATAACAAATATTTTTCACACTTCTATAACAAATAAAAGATAAAATTCATTCATTCATTCATTTATTAATTAAATTTTATTTTAATTAAAAATTTTTAAAAAAATTTATTTAGAACCTGATTTAAATACTTTATATTATTGCTCTTGTAGTGTTAAATTCTATAATTTAGTAGTCAACTGCACTACATGTTTCCAAGGTCCTGGAACCAGTATTACCGTGGAACCTTTTCAGGATTTTGCGAACGCTTGTGCCGATGCAGGGTTTGCCATTGAATTGTAAGTTAATTTCTCAAATAACCAATTCATACCACGTATGAATATATGATTGTACATTTTTAGGCAACAACCAAAAGCGCCAAAACCAAGGAAAGTTGACAAGTATTGTGGGACTGTAAAGGATCCATGTAAATTGGTAAACTCCACGTTAAGTCCATGTGGTGGATACTTTCCTTCACCAACTCCTGAAGAATTGAATGGTGGAATTTCGTCTATATATAAACTTGCTTCTAGTGGTAAGTAATAACGAATTCATCTTTTCACAATTTGTATCACTTTGTTGTTTGTTTTTTTTTTAAAAAAGTGAATTTTTCTTTTATTTAGATATTAGTATATTCCCTTGTGCTTGCAACGCCGAACTCTACTCGTTATTTTATAGATGCACAACGTGTTTCATGAAACCGGGAAATGATATTACCATGGAACCTCTTGATGATTATAAAGCGACTTGTATTGAAGCAGGCCTTAATTTTGAAGTATTTTCGTAAGTATTGAAATCTTTTTCGCTTATACTTAAATATGCTATATGTATTTCACATATATACACTGTATATATATATTTTTTTGATAGTGACGACCCGCAACCACTACCAACATCTACGTCTTCAACATCTACAACAACTACATCAACTTCAACAACAAAACCACCCTCCCCAACACCGTATGTATAACAGATCATTTCTGTCTCAAAAAAAAAAAAAAAATTATTTATTTTTCTTTGATAACCTTGTTTATATTTTACTTATATGTACAGTACCCCACCCATTGTAAAAGATCCATCTTGTAATACTGATAATGATCCTTGTTCGGCAATAAATAATCTATTGAAGCCTTGTAACGGAATTTTATACCCACCATCTAAAGTAACAAATGGAACCTATAAACCTGACGGCAAGTACAAAAACGCTTTTATTTCTAATTTCTTTATTTTTTTTTTTTTTTTAAAAAAAAAAAAAAATTCGTTTAATTTAGTTATTTAAAAATATTTTTAGATCCAAATTTATTGCCTTGTATGTGTACTGCTAGATTTTACAACGAGTTAGTAAAATGTATGACATGTTTCGTTCCAGAGTATAATATTACTGTCGTGCCAGTGCTCGAATATGGACAAATTTGCAAGACGTAAGTATCTTTAACCATAAAATCGAATTCGTTATTAAACTAATTACGTGACCATTTTTTCTTAATTTTTTAGATCGTCGAACGATGGGTCATCTCTAACTCAATTAAAAGATTCGTCTCTCTTGCTTAATTTATGTATAACGTTTATGGTTAATTTTGTATAAAATTTTTTTGTTTCCAATAAATATCGCATTTATTTAATTAAACCGTGATCAGGCAAAAATCATACGACGCGTATATATATGTATTGGACATTTCTAATTATCAGTGATATCGATTACCTGACTCTAAACATAAACTGGAATAAATAAAAATGAAAATGACTTATATGTATATATATAAAAAAAGATTTTTTAAGAAATAAACATTATCTGGCGTCACAGTTTACTATTTAACTTTCCTCACCAAGGCTATGCAGTAAATATACAAAGGGTGCAATTCTTAGAATTCTTCCTGTGAAACTGGAACGGGAACACGATTGTTTTTATATAAGTGACTAGCTTTATCATGCCAAAAAGGTAGACATTAAAATGTTTGAACGGACAAGGAGGAAAATCAAACATAAAACGATTAATGAGAAATGTAACAAAAGGAGGAGACCACTAGAAGAAGGTCACAAGATTTGCCGAATTTGTTATAGATCAAAATCATTTACATAAACCAAGTGGGAATAGATCGGTGTATGATTTCATCAAGCACAATAGGTCAGAATATTGGAATTTGTTCCCTACGATCAGTTCAGAGATGTAGAATTCGTTGCCGAAGGGTGGTTTTATAAAGCCACTTGGATTGATGGTCATATTCGATATTAGGACAAGAATCGAAATTTTCAACGGGGTGGCCCTGACACAAAAACTTTTAATTCCGAAGGCATCACTTTTAAGAAATTGAATCAGGTAATAAAATCTTTTTGTAACCTGCCTATTTGGAAAGGAATGGAGCGTTTAAAAAAAGATCATCATATGTTTTCTCTCGTAAATTCAGCTTAAAGCAATTCTATGATCATAATTTAAATCGAATAAGGAGACACATTCAACTTATTTTTATGAGCAAGTGTTATGGAATACCACAAAGGACTTTATGATAATTATGAATTAGGTGATTTGAATGGTTTTATAATCAAGGAATTTTATAATATCAGTTTTGGAAACCGATTGGACAAACTGAGATATATAATAGAAGGCTCGAATATATTCATGATACGAGAACAGTTCACCGAGATTTCCGTAGTGGGAACATTCTGATGGACAAAGTAGGTATATTCGTAGATATTTGCGATGGTCTACGTGCACCTGAAGGTTACATTGAATTAATGTAAAAATGTTGGGATCCTGATCCAAGTAAAAGAACTGTAACTGCTGACATAGAAAAGAGTATGTTGAGTTTCAAAAGAAGAATACGACAGTTATTAATGAAACAAATATTTCAGGAGCGATTTATCGAGTAGGCTTTTAAGTGGTAATAATATAAGATGTGCAAAGATAAAAAGAAGTTTGGAGAATGAGTCAATCACTTCACATGCTGTAAAGTTCGAAGAATCGGGTAAATCTTTTTTATTCAGCTAAGACCAGAAGAAAAAAATCTATAAAATAATTTTTTTTTTTTTTTTTTTAACTTTTTTACAGACCAAAGGAGAGTTTGAAGATAATAGAAGTTATCCAAGGATAACAATAATGTTATTGTGCGGTAAATATAATTGGTTCCCCGAGTCAATTTTTTAATTTCTAAATTCCGGATCGGAAAATGAAAATGACCAATCAAATCCTATATATTTTATTTAACTTAAATTAATTTCGACTATAAAAATAATTTAAACAATTTCTTAATTTGACTTTAATATTGTTCTATTAATAAATCAATTTGCGCCCTACATGATTGAAAAAAGGAGACATTTATCCTTGTTTTCCGGAAATTCAATTCACATTTTCCCGTCTTACCAAACTCGTCCCAAAAAATTTTAAAAAAAAAACTATTGGTATAGGTTTAAACATTTATTCAATTATTCACATTATTTACGAATTGAAATTGAGAAAAATGAGATAATCTTAAAAACGCAAGAGATGCATATCTAGAAATACATTGTACAAATTTTTTAAATCGGATTCACAAATTACCAGAATTAATTACTGTGAGAAAAAATCAATATAAATGTGGAATTCATTATGGGGATTACGTAATGAAGCATTGAGTGTATGTCATTATTTGTATAAACATGATAGTAAATCAAATTACCCAATAATCTCATAATAGCCCACCTTTTTCATTTTGAATTCTTTGAATTTTTTTATTTTTAGTAGAATAAACTCTAAATTAAGATTGCTAAACCTTTGAAAATCAAGTGTAAATAAAATATAAAGTTGGATCGTCAAACTTTATTTACTAATCGAGTTCAGATGGAAGGTTCGCCATGACAAAAATACTGTTAGCATAAAGGAAAAAAAAAAAAAAAAAAAAACTTGCGATAATTTTCTTTTTTTAAATTTTTTTTGAGAAAATATTTTTCTGTCTAAAAAGAGGATTTTCTTTTTTTTAAAAAAATAATAATGTATACGTTCCGAAAGTTATCAGCATCCCTGATTGTAACTCTCATGTTAATTCTCCTTTCAGATGAATTAATCAGATTATCCTTTGCTCAAACAGGCGATATAAATTGCCAAGATTCTTCTCCGGACAATCCTTGTAACAAGGTTGACAAATTATTAGAACCTTGTAATGAAACATTAATTCGGCCTGACTCTGATGATGATGAATTCATGTATTTGGTTGATGGTAAGTATTATAATAATACACAAGAGAAGTTTGAAATGAGGGAAATTTTATAAAAAACATTGTGAATTTTATTACGTAGAACCCCATGAAGCAAAATGCTGGTGTAATAAAAAATTCTATGATTTAATATCAAGCTGTATGACGTGTTTATCTTTGCCACCTAACGTTGAAACAATGATTAGACCGTTGGAAGATTATAAAAATGATTGTAAAGCTCAGAATGTAGAATTTATCGACCAACAGTTAGATACTGAACAAGAACAAGGAAAAGGGCAAGGACAAGGGCAAGTGTTATTGCTGAATTTCTCTCCCTCACTTTTTTTTTTTTTTAATATTTATTATTCTCTAATTAAATTTATTGTCTTCTTCTTTTCTAGCAACAAGAAAGGTCCTAATAAACTTTTACTTGCGTTAGGTATTAGTTCGTTGATAGTATTATTGGCAAGTTTATTGTTCTGTCTGTTTGCTTTTAAAAATAACAAGAAGAAGTCACGGGCCTATGAAAAGTTGAAAACGGATTTTTATTCATATCCAAAAAACAGAGGAAGGGGGATTGAAATCGGAACAAGGAATGTTGTGAATGAAAATGATGAAAAATTATATTCACCCGCGGCACCCATGCCGCCACCGTTAGCTCATCAACCTCAACAGGGTGAGGTGCAACAATTGCAAGATCAGAATAATCCTTTCGTCAATACTGGTACGTATGGACCGCAAGAATATTATGTGGAAGCAAGTCAGTCACAAGTACAAGCTCCCAGACAGAGTTACGAATATTCTGATAACGTTAACGTTATCGTTGGTGATGGTGGTGGTGGTGGTAACGCTCTTTCGCAACCATACGTTTATCAACGATATCCTGCATGATATCTGAATGATTAAATAGTTTGTATATATATATGTGTATGAACTAAAATAATATGTAAATGTAAAATAAAATAAAAAAAAGATTGTTAAATATTTTATGTAAATAATTTATCTCTAATTCCATTTAACCATATATGATAATCCTTTACAACAAAAGAAGTAAGTCATTGGAAGTTTGAAGATGAGATGAAATGTAGCGAAACGAGAAAAAAACCCGACTTGATTCATCTTCAACTATAATACGGCAAGTGATTCCAAGCCTTAAGCTTGACCGATTATCATCACAAATGAATGATATATTTAATTTTCAGAACGCAGTTTAATACGTCCTTCGTTGCTATTACGTCCAATTCTTTTTAGAAGGTTCAAAGCAACTAGTGTTAACCGACTAGCTTTATTTCTGACAACCGAAACGGTCGAAATTAAAATAATTTAATTAATTTTAGGACAATTCCTTGGCATTAAATTTAACCCTTTGAGAATGATGTCTCCAAATTTCTTTCATGTACAATAAATTAAACATTTTATGACTTTTGGAAACAATTTACCCAACAAGGTAATGGTTTGCATCTACCAAATTTTTCTTCTTGTTTCACATTAAATTAAAGTTTTATAATGACCCCTAAAATGCGGTGACACGAAGAACATCGTTATGTTCTCCTTTATAAAATTTTAGTGATCACAACAATCATTGAGATAACAAACAAGAGCCCGAACCCATGCTTTCCCGATAGGCTGGACGAGTGGATGATGATGTGACATACTATGCATCACAATCATGCAGACAGAGATAATATTTTATTGACAAATGACGATTTTAATTAAAACCATGGATTCCTTCCCTCCTGCATGTAATTTCCTTGTACATATCTCATTATTGTTCATGATGTGTAATTTATGCATCTTTATTTATCGATTTAAAAAAAAAAACAAATTTAGGATGAGGAGAAACAGTTCCGCAGGGTTTTGAGTAATATTTTAAATGTGTTGTTTTAATCCGGATATTTTTTTTTTTTTTTTTTTTTTTTTTTTTATAATTACAAATTCTATGTGTGATATTATTATTGACGGGAAGCTTGGCTTTTTTTAAACCTTTGAATTAACGGTATCGAACACTGCGCCACGTACCCGTTGCGTGAGAAAGACGTGAATCAAAATGATTTGTTAAACAAAGTAAAAAAAAAGGATCTTAAAATGATCACCTTTGTTGAGTAACAGAAGGCTTTTATTGAAGGTAAAAAAAATTCGAACGGTGGCTTTTTTTTTTATTAAAAAATATATACGGAAAGGTATTTTAATTTATTTTGTGATACAAAGTCGTGGCCTAGTAATTAATTAATCATGTTTGTAACAATTTCTCCTTTGATCCGTAAATGTTAAGCCAAATAAAATAAATGATAGTTTAGTTAACAATGTGTATATATTAAATTAAATTATATATAAACGTCCCGTATGTAATTTTTTAATCGGGTAAAGTAAAAATTGTGGTAGTTTTTTTTTTGCTTCAAATTTTCTTTTTCTTTTTTTTTTTTTTTTTAAAAAAAAAAAATACTTTTATTACTTGACGTTATAAAAGATAAAAATTAAACGAAAAAAGGAATCCTAAAAGCAGTCTTGATTCGATATAATTTTTTCAATATTCGATAGAATTAGAAGAATTCATTCAACTGTATATAATATTCTGATAATATAATATAATAATGACATTTAGGAAATATCATGTAATTGTATGCTTTATAATATTATTATACGTGGTGGTGGGAAATGTAGTAATCGCGCAAGAACCAGAAGACACACCAAGTCCAACGGTTAACGAAATATCCATAACTTCTACAGAATCTAAACCCACACACGTATCGCATAAAGAAAATAAAGAAGATAAAGAAAAGACTATAAAAAGTTGCACAGCACCTGATAGTGCGTGTAGAAATGTTAATGACACTTTAAAGTTATGTAATGGGGTTATGGTGACCCCTGACAAATATATCGAGAAAGATATTCATAACGGCACTTACCAACCAGATAGTAAGTTAATTCATTCATTTTTTTTCTTTCTTTTCTTCTTTCCTTCATTCCTCATTAACTACAACAAAGCACATTCTTTTTGAATAAACTTAGGTTTTAGTTTGGCGAGATGTATGTGTAATCAACCATATTACAACATGTTGGAAGCATGTGTGGAATGTTTCGTTAATACAACGGGGAAAGAATTTGAAGTTGCTCCTTTAGAACAATACGAAAATCGATGCAAATCATTCGGTGTCACATACACTCAAGAAACGTAAGCATTTCCCTCCGAATAAACGAAATTTTTTTTTTTTAAAAAAAAAAATTATTTGTAATTAACTCTTCCTTGCGAATAATATATAGGCCACCACCACCAACTACTGGGATTCCATCAAAAGTAAAATTGATATTATCAATTGGACTATTTGTAATATCTTTTGGGTTATTAGGAATGCTTTTGTACAAATTATACAAAAGAAAGAAAAGAAGGGAATCGGAAAGGGCTTTTGCTGAAAAACTATCCGCTGATTTGGTGGCATCAAGTAATCGTGGTCGTCTTAGTACAGGTGATACTTTGACTAAAACGTATCCGGCACCAAGCTCAACACCAAGCCATCATCGCACCCCTCCTCGAAACACACCACCATCATCAGGTGGTCCGCCTCCGCCTTCAAGTAATATTAGTTTACCTAGTCCACAACCCTATTATCCCCCTGGTAGTCAAGGAGGTGGTCAAGGAGGTGGTCAAAGCGGGCAAAGTGGGCAAAGTGGTGGTCAATCAGATAGTTATTTTAATAATTCTTTCTAAGCCAATAAAAACTAGGAATCCCTAACCGAATAGAATTAATTAAATTAGTTTAATTTATTTTGATATAAATATAGAAATATATCTATTTTTTTATATAATATAAATATATACAGTAAAAAATTTTTTTTTTTTTTTACCTATTTCTGTTTATATTAATTGCCGGTTTCTTTTTGCGCGCCAAGGGTAATCGGAAGTATCGGAGTTGACTAATCGTTGGTTCACTTGGCGTAAATAACCTATAAATATTCTGATGAAAAGAAAAGGTCTTGCAGTCAAATCGTTCAGCTTGTATTGTGTTGTCATCTGATAGTTTATTTCAATAAAGTGAAAAAATATGTCTTCTCATCCGCAACAACCACCAATTCCTAACCCTAATTTAGTTAGTCAATTACTAACTCGACGACAATTTTTTGTAAAGATCTTTTTTTTTTCTTTTTTTTTAAAAAAAAAAACTTATTTAGATTGGAAAAAAAAATTTTTTTTATAGGAACATGAAAGCTCTCAAGTAAAATATTTAGATGACACTTCAATTTCTTCTAATTCCACCATATTCTTGAGGTTATGCGAAGATATGGAATATGTTGTCAATAGTGTTTGTACCAAGATTATGATTGGTAACCTCCCTTTTTTTAAAATATATATATATATATATATTTATTATATATTTATCTTTCTTTAACCGTCTTTTTTTTTTTTGGTAGAGAATTGCAAGAATTTAAAATTAACCGTCAATGAGAAAATCCTTACTTCTATTATTGAAGTCTGGAAATCTGATGGGATTAATATTAACGTATTTAACATTTTCTTAATTTATTTATTTTATGATGAATTTTTGGTTTAAAACATTTTTTCTTTGATATATAGTTAAATGCTCAAGTCCAAACCGTACAAATTGATCAATGTAAAAATGTTAATTTAGAGTATGATAACCCAAGTAAATTTTATTCGATTGTTTGGACAAATGCTTCCCATTTATCCATGAAAATTTATGAAGTTGGTCAAGGTTGATTAAATTTATTAACTATAAAGTTTTTTTTATATATATATATATTTTCCTTTTAAAATAAAATATATCTTTTTTTTTTTTCTTTAGAGAAGCATTCTTTAAATGCTGGAGATGAAGATTCTTCGGATGATGACAAACCTAATCCGGTTCAATATATCGTTAGATTAATCGACAATCAATTGGTTACCGAAGAATTGATTCGTGCTGAAAAAGGTTTTCCGACTACTCAAAGGGAATGGGATGATTGGAAGGCCATAATTGAGTTACCAGTGAAAGATGTGAAAGAGTAAAACAGAATCGAAGAAGTTAAAAAAGAGAACGATCGATTAATTTATTTGATTATATTGAATTTCATTATTTTTAACTTTTAATGAACAAAGGGTAAATTTTTATCTCTTTAGATAAAATTTTGAAATAAATGTATTCATAATATTTACTAATTAATTAATTAACTTTTGAATTTCTTAATGATTGTCAAAACATTTCTTTAAATGATAAAGAAATGAGTTGCGTTCTTTTTTTTTTTTTTTTTTTTTTTTTGAAATTTTAAGTATTGTAATATTTATCAATCAAAAGAAAAATATTGATAACTTTGGGAAAAATACATTGCTCATATGATACTTATAATTTTTTTTTAAATACTAATCAAAATAAATGAACTCGTTCGTTAAATTGGTCAAATTATTTACGTTTTCTGGAGTACCTGGTATCATGGCAAATATATCGTTTTTGATTCGGCATGCGGACTTTTTGATTCATCAAATGTACTTTTTTTGATTCGATAAATTCACCTTTTTTGATTCGATAAATTCACCTTTTTTGATTCGATAAATTCACCTTAGTTGATTTGTGTAACCAATTATTCAGGAGTAATAATAGCAAAATATTTTATATATATCAATTTTTTCTTAAATTTTTATCCTTGTAGCTCATAAGTCGTAGCACGTAAAACACGTATTTTAAATCATAAATAAAACAAAATTTTATAATGCATAATATAAATGAAAATATCTATAGAGATAGTATAAATACAATCCTGACGGCACAGTTAATGTACCTTTTGACTCGTACAACAGAGTAGTATATCAATAATGTACCCATGCTTAGGTATGCCGCCTAAAACATCAAAGTCGACAAAAAACTCCACAGCAGGACTCATTGAAGTTAGACGTACCACAGATGCTATTGACTTTTTAGAATGGAAAACAAAACGGGGTGTTGTAAAATCCACAAACAGAGTAGATGACATGATAATTTTAACTCTAAAGGGACAAGAATTATTACTAGAAATTAAACAATTATCAGAGTGGCAGCATAGGAGAATGTTTATCGAATTGTCAAAATAAAGCATATAAAGGAAATCTAAAAAATGCAAATGATATGCATTTATGCAATGTTAGAGTTATACTAGAATGTCAAATATCAAATATCATGGCTAAATTCTTCTACACCTTTAAAAATAACAATCCAAGGTAGTCACGTTCCACATAATTTTCTGGTTACTCAGCCGGACTTAATATCAAGGGATATGGTTTCATTTGATATTAGTTTCATATAATGCAAGCATTAGGTAATAATCTTAAAGAATATCAAATTCCACAACAATTCAGGTACTGTAAATAAAATCTATTTAAATAATAATATATGAATTAAATATTATATTAATATCTTTAAAATTAATTAATTATTTTATAATCAGATATCCTATTATGATAGCATTTAAAAAATTGGATGATATCAATCAGATGATATTTTATATGATATATTTTTATTTTTTGTAATTTTATTTAAATTTTACTTATAAAAGATTATAAAAAAGATTTAATAATTAGAGAAATAAAAAATAATTAAATGTGTGATAAGTGAAAATTAAACTTCATTAATGCTGGCAGAATTTCATATAATTATTTAACTAATTTAGCTTCATAGATTACAAATAATTTTACAGAAAAAATTTATCATACAATTGAAACTATTTATGTAAAAAAACAAACTGTTTTAAATTTTCTTAAAAGATTATATAGTATAAAATGATTATGAGATAATTTAACAGAAAATATTAAATAAACTAATTTTGAAATAAAACTTATAATTTTATTTAATGCATAATTAATTAAATAAGTAATATTTTATATTATATTTATATTTATTTAATTATTATTTTTATTTATAATTCAAATATTTTTTTTATAATATTTAGCAAAATCAGCCAATTATTTAACATCTGATCAACAAAAAAAGCTTAATAAAGAAAGTCTTTGTTTTTTATTAAATATGATAAAATTTGTCATAATTAGTATTTTGAAGTTGAATTTGAGAATGTACTCAGACTCAATTCATTTATAAAAACTAACTTATACAAATACTTATAGCTAAATTAAAAATCATTTTATTAGCTAATATTTAGTAATATTAAAATAAATAAAATTTTTTACCTGCAATTGCAAGATAATCTCTTACCATTGCTACTATGTGTGAATACTTTACTTTATTTAATTAATATATTTATTAATAAATTAATAAAATTAAATCAAATAAATATATTTATTATTATTTAATATATATACCACCCTATTAAAAGTATCTGATTAATTAATTTAAAAATTATATTTATTATAATATTATAAACTTTTAATATTTAGTTAGCTATCCTGAACTTTTAATATATACTTTTATCTAATGTAGCATGCTTTCAATTAAATTAATATAAGTTTCAGATAGAATTTTTTTCATTCTTTTTACAATGCTTTTTGAGTTTATATAAAATTTTGAATATTTCAATTATTTTCAAAGTCTTCATTCTAGTTCATATCACAAATATTCAATAGGATTAAAGTTTGAAGATTAAAAAGGCCAATCTGAAAGAATCTTTTGTATAATCCAATTTTTAACATCCTTTGTAATATAAAAAGAAACATTATTATCCTAAAATGAATAAAGTTATTTATGATGTTTAGAATAGATGAATGATAATAAATTTTTTTTTTAAAATATTAATGTAATCAAATCTATTCATTTTATCATCTATTTTTACCAATGGTCCTAATCTTTTTCCTGAAAAACATTCCTATACTATAACACTTCTACCATCATATTTAATCGTTAGTGTTAAATTCTTAATATTATATTAAATTCTATTTTTTCACCAAATACGAACAGAACTATTATTTTGAAAAAGATAAATATGAACTCATCACTCTAAATAACAGTTTTTCATTATCTAACTGACCAATCTTATTATTCTATACACTATGAAAATTATTTTTCATATTATGCTTCAGTAAAAAATAGTTTTAGCATAAAAATTTGTGAATTAATTCCTATTTGATAAAGATTTTTACGAATGGTTACAGCTAAAATATTTTATCTTGTAAACTTAAATTTTGTTAAATTTCTTTAAGAGAAAGTTGATTATTTTTTGACAATTTTTGAAAGGTTATAATGATCATTATTATTCATAGAATATAGTCTTCTAATTCTTTTAGCATTAATCTATTATTGAGATTTTTGTATTGAGAAATTGTATCTGTAATAGTACTTTTTGAAATTTTAAACATAACTAATAGCTTTATGAATCCTTCCTTCTATTCAAAGTCTAATGACTTTTTCATGCTCAAATTCTTTTAATTCATAATCTTTTCTTATATTTTAATAGTGCTATAAAAAAGTTAAAGCTTATTACTATACAAAATTAATCATTATTTTTATTTTTATTACCAAATTTGATATATATATCATAACAAAAAATAAATAAATAAATTTTATTTGTCAGAACTGAAATATTTATTAAAAATATTTATATTAATTAATATATTTATTCTTAAAATAATCAAAAAAAAACTTGACCAGATACTTTTGATAGGGTAGTATACTTTCTATCACAATAAAACATTTTGATTCAAGGATTTTTAAATATATTTCTACTTCAAAAGTTATTTTCTTAACCTTATTCATTTTTATACTTAATATCACAAATAAAGTTAGAAATTAAAAA